ACGCCCCGCCCGCCTCCACCTCCACCTCCGCCGCGGGATCGGCGTCGGCGTCGCAGGACGCCGCCGCCGAGACCACGCCGCGCCGCCCGGCGGGGCACCGCCGCGCGCAGTCGGAGATCCTCCTCGGGGCCACCGCCCTCCCGGACGATCTCACCTTCGACGCCGACCTCGGCGTCGTCGGCGAGGGCGGAGGAAGCGGCGGCGGCGGCGGCGACGAGGACGACGACGACGAGTACGAGGAGGACGAGGAAGGCGGCGGCGGCGGCAGCGGGGGCAGCCGGATGTTCGAGATGTTCCTCCAGGCCGGCGGCAGACTCTCCGAGCCGCTGGAGCCGTCGCCGTACCCGCAGCCGCCGCCGCCCGCGCGGCCGCGGCACCAGCACAGCATGTCGATGGACGGCTCCACGTCGTTCGGGTCCGCCTCCTCCGGTATGCCGGGGAGGCACGGCGCGGACGCCAAGAAGGCCATCTCCGACGCCAAGCTCGCCGAGCTCGCTCTCGTTGACCCCAAGCGCGCCAAGAGGTGAGGCTACCCTGACGGCGCAAGTGAACCGACTTCCCTTTGCTTCGTTGCTATTTTTGGTCTTTATTAGGGATTCGCGCAGTAGGATATATCGAATTGCGGCGGTTGACAGGGACAGGTTACATGGATTCTCCTTCTTTGAAAAGGAGTCCAGTCCCAGGTACAAAGTGTGAAAGGGGCGAAAGTTGTGGAATCTCGAATCATATGTTTTTCCAGAACAGTCAGTAATCATACGTGATCTTGCTGCTCTTTTTTTGGCCTGATTGATTGAAACAAAACATGGCACAGGGGACTGTCTATGTATTTTGATATAACAGAGGCCGTCTATAGTTCCAGTATAGCTTAATACTAAACATATATGAACAAAACATGGCACAGGGGACTGTCTATGTATTTTGATATAACAGAGACCGTCTATAGTTCCAGTATAGCTTAGTACTAAACATATATTAATCTTACTTCTTTGGTGCGATATGCATTTTGAAATACGCTAGCGAATTGGTGATGTATGCGAGTGCATCATTTTCTGGCATGAAGAACGACCTAACTCTTATAATTTGTTCATTTGTTAATTAAGTAACTCTATATGTGGATATGTTAGTGTGATTAATTGTCAGTACAATTCTTATATCTGATTTTATTGCATTACCTTTGTTGGAGGGAGGCCACATGAGAGCACAGAGTTTCACCATTGTAATTCAGTATAGCCCTTTTCACTGATGGTAATTTAGTGCAAGTATTGCAGTGTGTGCAAGTTATTAGCCTCTTAATATCATGAGAGTAACTTCTCAGTGTGTTTCTTTGCTAGAACAATCTGGATGTGTCTTTGTCATGTAATTTGATTTGGCTCCAGTTATTTTGTTCCAACCATTTGGTGTTATTCATTGTGTGTGCCTTTAGGGGTTAGTGCTTATTACTTGGATTGATTTTTCTTAACTTCTATTTTGTTGAAACATTTTAGGATCATGGCAAACCGCCAGTCAGCTGCTAGATCAAAAGAAAGAAAGATGCGCTACATTGCGGAGCTTGAGAGGAAAGTACAGTGTCTTCAAACAGAAGCAACTACGCTATCAGCTCAGTTGGCCCTGTTACAGGTTAGCTATTGGGCTTTACCTTAATTTAAATTCTTGCACATTGATATGCGTTAGATGGTTTAAACCTGGGTTTGGCTGAAAATTGCTACTAAATGTCAGGAATGGTTGCCAAAAATAGTAAATGCTTAGGTGTTCAAATGAATGCGTGCCTAATTGCCTATGCTATTTTAAGCATTTAATTAGAATTCCAACCGCTGACATTGTTTATTTGTTCAGTTATTGAATGTTTTGTCAATTTTTTGAAATACCTTTTACGTCTGCATATGGTTACTAAATTTGCGGGTTTTTCGGCATGTTAACTCCCAACTACTTGTTAAATAAACCCGATATGACGGGCATATCAATATATCATACACAAGGTTCTGAGCGAAGGTGAGAAGTAGAAAAAGGAAATTACAAGGTAGGGGGTGTAACAGAATATGAGCCCTTCAGCAGTAAAATGGCCGCACGCGCTTATCCATCTTGAATCTGTGTTCCAAATATTAAGATCAGTAATGGCCATCAGTACAGTCTTGACAATGACCAAAGGAAAGGAGACTGCTCCTGCTGGCGAGTTAGCATTCCGCGTTAGAGATCAGCGGAGTGAAAGTAGAGAGGTGGAGCTTGGTTGGGCCGCTGGGGAGGCCATGAAAGCACATCCGCGACTAGAATCAACAAATAGGGAGAGACAGGATCACCTTGACGTAGGCCATTCTCAAAAAGTATCAAATCCCCTGGCACGCCATGTCGCCATATGGACGTCTAACTAGTGAAGTTATTGGATATGTGCAGCCCCTATATCGACAACTTGTATTTCTGAATCTGTTTGTCTGAGCAGTCATTATTTATTTTAGTTCTGCGAATTGTGTATGTCTTAACATATTATTACCAGCTTAAATAATTATCGAAAAGGAGGTTATACCCCCGGCCACTGCATCTATTGATGCACATAGCCATGTAATTTTTTTAGATAATGGAAGAATATTCTCCTGCCTCTGCACCTGGAATGCACACAGCCCATTATTATGATGTTGAACAAGTCTTTGTTTAAAAAAAGAGAAAAAAGCAATAAGCGCCAACAGCTTGAGACTTGTGCTATTTGTATTCTACTGATACGTATTGTTAATATTCTGTAGATTTTCTAGTTGTTCAAAGAACTCTCTCTTCGGTTTTCCATGAGTGATGGGTTTTGTACTCTACATATACATATTATTAATATATATTTTTCAGTAAGTCTTTGTTTAAAAAAAGTGATAAAAAGGTAAAAAAGCAACAAAGGCCACCAAGAACTCACTATTTGAATTCTACAGATACATATTGTTAATATACTGCAGATTTTGTAGTTACTCAAAGAACTTCCTCTTTTTGGTTTTCCATGAGTGGTGAGTTTTGTAGTCTACAGATGCATATTGTTACTACACTGCAGATTTTGTAGTTTTTCAAAGAACTTCCCCTTCGATTTTCCATGAGTGTCGAGTTTTGTAATCTACAGATACATATTGTTAATATACTGCAGATTTTGTAGTTATTCGAAGTACTTCCTCTTTGGTTTTCCTTGAGTGGCTGGTCTTGTATTCTACATACAATTTGTAGTTACTCAAAGAACTTGCTCTTTGATTTCCATGAGTAATGAGTCTATCCCTATTTTTCTGTATGATACAGAGAGATACCAGTGGTTTAACAAATGAAAATGGTGATTTGAAGCTGCAAGTGCAAACAATGGAGCAGCAGGTCAGGTTGCAAGATGGTAAGGTTTTCTTTGTACAGCAAATTCAAAATTAATACAAAGATATTTTGTTGATGCCATGCTCATTTGACTCCATGTTCTCCCATAACTGCAAATAACTCGATGATGTTCTGAATTCTACATGTCCACTTGCTCTTATAACACAGAAAACTTGAGTTTGATAGTATTCGCGTGGATTTTGAGTCCTGATTTTTCTTGATCATCTAGAGATTGAACAGCCATTTTCGGTCTTTTCCTATTCAATCTACACGTCAGAGTCTACTTGTGTTTTAGTTTTGGCTATGTTAACTTTGTTCCCTACCATCTTTGGTAACTGTTCCTTTGGTTACATGTAGTGCTGAACGACAGACTGAGGGACGAGGTTCAGCAGCTGAAGATGGCAACAGGACAGCTTAACGCCAACAATGGAAACCTGGGGAATTTCGGCGGTCTGTCCTCGTACGGAGTCAATTCACAGAGCTACCAGCGAAGCCAGATGCAACAACAATCTCTTCTGGCTGCTCAGCAGCTTCAGCAGCTCCAAATCCACTCTCAGCACCAGCAGCCCCAAATGCACCTGCAGCAGCAACGCCTTGCCAGTGTCCGGCAGCAGCAACAGCAGCAGCAGCAGCAGTCGCTGCTGCGTCCGGAAGCACTGCCATTTCCGGGAGACCTCAAGATGAAGGGAATTGCCATGACAGCCCATGTGCAGAATGCGGGCCCGTCCCCTTTCGATGGCCGCGCAAGGAGCGAGCCGTGAGAACCGGCGCAGGTAGGGTACATGTCAGTTGCCAGTAATAATAGACTTGCGTTGTACTACTGCCTGAGTCGAGTGGCTCATGCATAGGCTAGTGCAGTGTGTAGGTAGGTGCCTAGATGTCTGCAGCAGTCCTCTAGAATGTCGACCCCATTCAGTCGCAAGTTTGTTGCAGAACTGCTGAAAGCGGAGCGAGTACTTTTACCAGACGGAGTGTTCCATCTGGATTTAACCATAAAAAGTTGGTGCCCAAAACCTTTCTCGAATATGGTGCAAGAACAGAGTGAGAGACTGATAGTTGAAGCTCAACCATGTCGGCTTGGCGTCTGTGCCAGCCAGAGCAAATAAAATGCTTGGTGGAAAGAAAATTCCTATTCTGGGTGCACCTTTTTTTTCCTTACTAAATAGGATAGCCTAAATTTTGCTTGGTAGATCTCTCTTTCAGCAAGATCGAATGATTGCTGACCCACATTTGCAGCCTTCCAGTACCACATGTTGCCATTGCTCTCAGCGGGGAAAAGCTCAGACGTGAAGCCGAAGGGATGTGAATCCATCATGGAATGGAATAAAATCGGTCGATGTACAGGTAAAAAAAGAGGAAGAAAAGTTGAGCAATCTACCAAGCAACCAAAAGGCAGGGAGGGTACAAGAATTATAACACCATGTACCAATGTACAAATATGAATCAGAGCGTCCGGCTAATTAGGCTTAGCGACATCAGTCACTCCTGTTCCGTATCCTATACCGCAAAAGAATATTTTTTTAACAGAATCCTCAAATTCGCCATCCGCCCAAACTGCGAAGTGAGCTACCACAAACTATGCCGTTTGGTAGTAGCTGCTCCAAATTAATTCTCTCTATGCGAATCGCCGCCTCCATGTAGGATGAAGGGTGATGGATGAGTCTTCAGTCGTCGTCCTCGTAGTAGCGCTTGAACTCGAAGGCGGCGACGGCCATGATCCAGACGGCGACGAAGACGCCGTAGGAGACGATGTAGGCGCTCACCTCCCTGGCGATGGTGAGGCCGAGGAAGACGTTGGCCATGGCCAGCAGGATGGCCACGCGCCCGATGTTGTGGTGGTACCAGTTCCAGAACCGCCGCACCTTGGACGTCTTGTCCGGCCGCGCCAGCACCGCCGTCACCTGTCCATCAACCAACACAGGCAGCAGGGTGAGCACACATCTATCATCGTGGTTTCAACTCTCTCTCGGGAGAATGTTCTTCTGCCGTCCTCAAGAACATGAACGCGACCGACAGTAAGTACTATCCTGGGAGTCAACGAACGGCAGCATCTATCTATTCTGATGGCAACAAATCACGGGGCATGTGGAAATTACACTTAACTAGCAAGTCAGATTCACAGTCAACATCTACTACAGTACTCCTAGAAATTAATAAGCTGGTAAAATTTCTTGCTGTTCCAGGCTTGTGTTCCCATCCCACACAGCACATGCCATTCTGGCAACTCAAATGATTAGATACCACAGCACATGTATCCAGCCAGCCAAGGAACCAAAAGTGGACTCAGATTAGTAAGCAATTTCCACACAACCACCGCCCCATGTTGTTAAGATTAAGGTTAATCCAGTAAAAAGAAGATTAAGGCTAATCTAATGAGACTCGATCGAACTCAAGAAAAATTCTGTGCTGCGTACGCACCTGGAGGCATGCCATGGACAGGATGGAGATGCCGATGACCTTGTGCACGACGATGTTCTTGAGCCCGTCCCCGTTGAGCCGGAAGCCGAGGACGACCGCCGCGATGCCGATGAGGAAGCCCAGCCCCTGGACGGCGATGTGGCCGTAGAACCAGTACGGGTCCTGCCGCCGGAAGTAGCGCGCCACCATCATGCCCATCGGCAGCAGCACGCCCCAGCCCATCATGGACAGCAGCCCGTGCCACCTCTTCGCCGGGAACCCCTCCTCGCCCGACTCGCTGCCGGCGCTAGAAGGCGATGCTGGACAGAAACCAACCCACAGATCCTCCTCGGTTAGTAAAAATGTTTACCGTTTCTCTTACCACTGCTCTCTCGAGGAGAAAAGAAAATGAATTAGCGGTGGAATTAATAATGGATGTACGTACCGGAGGCGAACTTGAAGGAGCGGGAGCCCATGTCGCGGTGCATCTGGATCGTGTAGTCGGAGGAGGAAGGGAGGCTGCCCTCGTAGCCCACGGAGTAGATCAGGTACGGCTGCGGTCGGTCGGTGCTGAGCTCGAAGGCCAGGTAGAGCCGGCCGGACTTGGAGACGGCGACGGTCCTGTTCCTGACCAGGGTGAGGCGGCCGTCGTCCGGCGTCACGGCCTCCGGGCTCCTGCCCTGGAGGTAGTACTGCTTGGCGACGCCCTTGCCGCCGGACGACCAGCCGACCATGGCGCTGCTGCCGACCATGCCCCCCTTGCCCGAGAACCCGACGGCCACGTAGGATCTCTTCTCCGGCGCCGACAGCACGAAGCTCCACTGGCTCGTCCCCGTGTTCTTGTACTGGCGACGGCACAAGAAGCATTCCGGATCAGATCAGGCAGCCACGACTTGATTGCTGGAAAAATCCAGACCAAAAATCCGCAGCAATGCGGTGAGAGAAGGCGTACCCTGAGGATGAAGTCCTCGTCCTTCCAGAGGGTGATGCAGTGGAAGGCGTCGGTGTCGAAGGGGACGAGGCGCGCCACCTGGAGGTCCCCGTCGCAGGAGTCCGACTTCTGGTGGCTTGCCGCGAAGCAGAAGCCGAGCAGGCAGAGCAGCGGCAGCAGCAGCCGCACGGAGGAACAAGAGGAAGCCCCCATTGTCGCGTCAGTCAGTCTAATCCTCTCCCCGAGCTTCCCGCTCCTGTGCCACGGCCACCACCTGTGCTGTGTCTTTCTTGGGTTGGGCACCGCGGTGGACGCGGAGGTCGGACAAGATTGGCGGTGCTTGGAAGGGAGGAAATGGCCAAGGTTCCGCCGCGCTGCTGCTGGGGCAGTTTGGCAGGTCAGAGGATGCTTGCTGCCCTGCTGCTGCCCTCCTCCAATCGAATGGCGTTGCCCTGTGCCAGTATGTACATATATCCTCCCTCCCTGACTCCCTCCCTCAAGTTGCGGTGTCCTTGTGTGTACATGGATATATATCGTGCAGTGTTGGGATGGCTATTGGCTGGTGGTTAAGGTTCACCTACAGGAGGCGCACATGCATTTACACGCCAGCCATCCTTGCACCGCAGTTTGCAGCGGGTTTTCCACTTGATGTGATTGCAGAAATGAGAAAGAAGACCCATGCATGTTTGTTTACCACCAGAGCCACGCTGGCTCCACTCTAATAAAGTCTTTACTTGGCCCATCTCCCGTACACTGGGACACAGTTCTGTAGTAGTAGTAAATCGAGCATGGCCACGCCGACGACACCTACTACTACTACTACTACCAGGCTTCCGATTAAACCCGATGAGAATGCCGTTGCTTGTGACCGCGCAACCAATGATGAAAAACAGCCAAAATAGAAGCCAATCCATCGGCGGGCGCCAGCATGTCGCTTGTCCTGTAGAGGTAGATTACACGAGCAGGGACAAACCGGGAGCGCCACGCAACGACGTCGCGTACGTGTATGCATGTGTACCGGCGCGCGTCCAATCAGTGGGCTAGCCAGTAGTAGCCAGTGCGTCTAGCTCCAGGCAAAGCGGGCGGTGAGCTTGCACAGCGAGGAAGGGGAAAGCCGCGCGCGATCCGACCACCGGGGATGGGGCCCGGCGGCCTCCCCCAGCGGTACGGCGCTGTGGCACGGGAGGGGAGGGGGAAAGGAAGGGCGGGGGCAGGCTGGTCCAGATGGTTATTGCGTCCGGGCACAGCTCATGCTTTGGCTAGCTGCACGGGCTGATTAAAGAACGGGGAGGAGATGCCGAGCGCACATGCGGCTCTTTGCCAGTGTGGCGCACACCGATCCGTCGGTTTCGAACGGCGCGTCCCTCGCTTGCCAAACCGTCCGTAGCGGCAGGCCAGACCGGCCGTAGTGGTGCGCAAGTCGGAACCTGGCCTCAATGCTTTGATCCTGGAGGGATCTTCCTGCCATTCATTCGGGTAGAGTTTGTATTGTGTATTTGAGTGCTGTGGTTTCTCCCATGGAAGAGGAGGTGAATACATACATACGTTCACATACACGGGTTAATTGATCAGTGGAACTGAATGGTGGACGAATCATCTTAAGAGCATCTACGTCCGGACTTGACAAATCTGGCCTCTTAAACGCCTGCGGGCGCATCCGGACGGCCCCTCATATTTCCTTACGTGCATTCACATATCTTAAATTCATGCAAATACATGCACGTCGATCACGCAACACAATGTCGCACATAAATAGCAATTGTTGGTATCAAGCATAGATAGCGTTTACATAAAATTTATTTGAAGTGTCAAACTCAAGCAGTGGATCCACATGTACTCCACAAGATAATTGAGTAGCTACGTGTGCACCTACTAATCTCGAAGATTCTGATGATTCTAATGCATCTGCAGAAAGTTCATAAGCTGAGCCGCATCTTGATTTTCTGGGATATCAAGAGTGCTTCGAAATTATGGGTTTGGCCTACACCATCACCCTTATCCTCGACAATCATATTGTGCAGAATAACAGAACATGTCATCAGCTGCCACAAACTTTCCGATTCCTACATTATTGCAGCGCTCCGCACAATTCCCCAACGAGCCTGAAGCACACCAAATGCCCTCTCCACGTCCTTCCTAGGCGCTTCCTGCATTGTTGCAAAGTGACTCTGTTTATTGCCACGCGGCTCAGATATGGTCTTCGCAAACGCCGCGCACTGAGGATAGATACCATCGGCAAGATAGTATCCCATGTTGTAGTCCCGACTGTTGATGGTGTAGTTGCACGACGGTGATTCCCTGTTGCAAAGCCTCCTGAACACCGGAGATCGTTGAAGCACGGTGATGTCGTTGTGAGAACCGAGCATTCCAAAGAAAGCATGCCAAATCCATAAGTCATGTGATGCCACCGCTTCTAGTATGATGATGGCCTCT